GCTGAATTGCACAAAACGCATGATCGCACCGGCCAGTCTGGTGCGCGTTGCCATTTATTTTTTTTTCGTAGATAATATGATACTTGAAATATGCGCCATTTCTTATTAAACTAAGCAAAATTTCTTTTTAAACCGAAATACTGGGGCAGTTGCTATTCCATAGTCTCTATTCATGCTGCTGGCGATCCTGACGTTCGTTTCATTTCCCGAAGAAATTTTTGTAACATGAGTTTTTGTGACAAAAAGTTACAATAGAAAAGAATGGGAAAAAGAGAAAAAAAAGTGCTTTTTTCCCTCTTTTTTCCATTCTTTCCTGTTATAACTTTCTATTTTCGTAAAAAAAAAAAGCATTTTGCAAACTTTTAGCTGTTTAAAGATGTTCTGGATACATGCATCTTGAGTGCTTCTACTCCTAGGTTACAATGAGGTATCTTTCTGACCACCCTAAAGTTTTTGTTTAAAATTTGTTGTATTTTATATTTTAACAGATTAAGTGGAAATTTTTTTAGGTATGAGAATGAGATGCGCGAAAATTGGACATTTTACGGTTACGAATTCACGAAGTGTCGTTTTTTGAACGAAGAAAAGTGTAAAGCATCGGCCTCGGAAAATTCATCGCCCGGTTTGCACGATCGTGAGGCTTTCGAATTGGGTGTCAGAATCACCTTGATCTCAGTATGAATTTTTTTCCAAATCCTTAATAATTTTGAATTTAAGCGAAGCTAAAATTGAATCTGTCATCGTTACTTTTTATGCGTTTTTTACATCTGTGCAATGCGAAAACGCATACTATCGAGGGATTCTCCCTGTGTGCGTGTGTATGTGTGTGTGTGTATGTGCGTGTGTGTGCGTGTGTTCGCCTTTCATTTCGAGACCTGCAAAAGCTACGAGGCTGAAACCATGAGAACCGCCTCTATCAAAAATAATTCAAATTATAGAAACTTAGCTGTGATTGTTTCAGGTGATTGATAACAGATTCTCCGTACTGTCTCGTACGCAGCAAGAGCGAATGCTTGCCGAAAGTGTTATCCTGGAGCCCGATGCTACACTTGCACCAACCAGTCATAACAGAAGCATTATTGAAGATATTTCCACAGTTTTCCCCTCCAGCCGTTTACTGTAAAATTACTACTCGTTTTTTTGTCCCACCGTTTGAAACGAGTAACTTTTTTTTTGTTACAAATCTGATAAATTTGTTGTGATGAAATCGCAAAATTTTTAATATTTTTCGTTGAGTCAACTGATAAATGAAGGGCCTGACATAGGCGACAACCGCGCCTACCAGGGGGATAGATTTAAGTGCGTTAACACCTACTTGGACGACGAACATCATCCTATGATTTCAGCACTCTAGCTTCTAAGATAACCGGGTTTTGAACTTGTGCCAAAAAAAATCTGGCGCCCCCATAGGCGAGAACCGCGCCTACCGCCAGACACAGCGTTGTGAGAGCATCCTAGTAACATCGGTCATATTTATATTGATTACCCGGGTATTTTTGGTATTTTTTTGCCGGAAGTGACGAACATTGAGCGAATATGGAAGTTTTTTTTCCCCCGGTAGCTTTGCTAACCATTATGTCTTCGATGACCACAATAGGTCATTGGGTTTTTTTCTGTTCGAAAAGTTTTAATAGAAAAGTTTGCCGGTATTTGCCGAAAAACGTATGGAATTTTACGATTTCATCACAATGAAATTCACCTCTCCTACGTTCACCTCGGCTCTTTTTTTTTAATAAAAACCTGTTGTTTTGTTGTACTCTTTCATCCCCTTATTTGTTGCACTTATTATTCTGTATTCACTACTTATATCTATGGCGAGAACTGATTATTTTCTGATTGGTAAACATGAAATCACTCAGGTAGGCCTGGATAAAAGAACTACTTAAAATGCAAATTTTAATCATATGAGTGAAAGTTTCATGATTTTTTTGTTTAAAATCAAATTTGAAGCCAAAATCGTCTATGAATGAGCAAAAAATTAAGTCGGAAGATGTAGAAATTTCGAGAAATGAATAGTTATTTAAGTGATTAATGGGGTAATCGTTTTGCTTAAGTTTTGAGATTTCAAATTTGTAATAAAATAGCGAAAAATTAGTTTCATAAGCGGAAAATTTACCTTTTTCAAAAAGCACCTTCTAAGTATATGTTAAAAATGAGGTAGAAGATGTCAAGTTTGAGTTTTTTTGCCTTTTTTCTGTTATTTTGAAAATCCGGTGTGTCTGTGTATTTATCCACTATTTTCATCGCTTTGAATTTAGATTTTGCGCATTCCGTGAATCTACAACGATAGAGGCACAGGGAGGGATTATATTTTGATATCCAGAGACCCGGTCCCGGAGGCATTTTCGCCATGACCTTGTATCTCACAAACTCAGCTTTAGCTCCCAATTATGCAGAGGTCTGGCGTAAGACCACGTGAGAATTTTGATGTGAAAGTCGCTAGCTCGGAAGCCGAAAAACTGAAGATTAACTGTAAATGCCTAAGCCCGGACTAGAGTTTTAGAGTCCCCTTGTCCACTGTAAAAATTAGTTTTGAAATTTTTTAGCTTCTCATTTCTTGGGCCTCTTTTTAGAATTTCGGCCAAGCAATGCTCCTAACACCTTTGTGTAGTTCCCAGAATCCACGGGCTTCTTGTGAGAAGGATTTCGGATGCTTTGCTTGGCCGGAAGAAGCTCATTATATACTGTTTTCGGGATTAGTTACTTGAATGTGCCATATCCTAGAAAACAGCCATTTCTGGAAATAAAGCTCTTATCATACTTTATTTATTATGTTTCTTGCTTAAAATTGAAGACGTTGAAGCAACGATGTACGCATTTGTCGCGGAAGTCTTGCGAAAAGCTGGCATATCCATTAATCTCCATATCCTAAGAAAGCTGTAAAGGGAATTTTTTCTCCTTTATACTCTCAGTAGGGGGACTGATAAGAAAGGTTTTTTCCCCCTGAAGATTAGCAATAACATATATAAAAAAATGCAAAAAAAAAAGATTAACAATATGTACAAAAAAAAATCATACATATAAAATGCAGAAATTAGCCGGACAGGAATGTCTTGATCTGTCAAGTCGTGCACACACACCTCGCTTCAGCAACACAGCTGGACCTCGTCAGTACGGCGGATTAAGAATATTTAAAATTTGTGGATAAAATCACAGACCAAAGCAAGGAGATTCTTGCGCTCCACAAACACATGCTACCACGATCAAAATTAGCATTAATGCTTCATAGCATAAATTCAACTAAATTCCATTCATTCGACTGGAATTTCAGCGTTCTAACTTCTCAGATCCCCGAGTTATGAACTTAAAGAGGGAATGTATACCATGTAAGAGAAGTGCGGTTATTGAATTTTGGTATCGCGTATGTCAGTAGACTGAACTACCCCTGGAAGGTGTCGGGCCAGACCAAAGTAAGACAAGTTTTATTACACAGGATATCAGTCACAGGCGCACGAGCGCAGGGTTAAGTAGACCACAGGGGAAACGAAGTAGATCACAGGCGAGACGAAGTAGATCACGGACGAAACGAGGCGTGTCAGGCGGCACTCTCGTAAGCAGGTGAACGCGAACCCCGAACATCGGATCCTCGAGTTTGTATACCGCCCTTCATGCAAGTGCTATCATGAGTCGCAATCTTCGACAACGGGGATTGGAAATGTCCCGTAT